TCCCTACAACCTCACACAAACCTGGCTCACTCCCAATGCAACACTGTGGCCTGATGCTTCCCAGCCCCAGCACAGAATCACCCCTAAGGAGTCCCTAAAAATGTGTGGAGGTGTTTCTGGCTGGCACCATGATCGGAGAGTCCACAGGCACTGAGAGGGCAGGGGCCCGGGAGGCTAAATGTGCCGCAAAGCACGCAATGAAGAGGTCCATCAAAACACCAACCAGACCCCTCGGAGACTCCTGGCCGTTTGGATTCCACGTGCCGAGGAGGACAGACCTTCACCTAGATGCTGCTTCAAAGGAGGCAGAGGTCTGAGCCCCGACTGCTTGTCAGAGCTGAATCCCCAGCCTCGCGCAGGCCCATCAGCCTCGCTGGTCCAGCCTTTAGGAAAATCCAACACTTCTCAAACACCTGCCCCTACATAGACCCCCCTGAAGTGGTCACGCCTGATTTCTGGCTTGACACAAATTCCTACAAATTAAATTCCAACTTGATCCTGGAAATCTTGACTTTTAAAACAGTAACAGGAAAGTTTAGAGATCACAGCTGAAGTGCAAGAAGAAGGCTTTAGGCCATCCAGTCAGGACCCTTAGTGGCTGGGATGTGGAGAGCAGGGAGGGAAGAAGAGCAAAAGCATAAGACACCGATTTGTTGTTGTTGTTTTTAAATAATCTCCCCCGCCCCCCCCCCACTTCCACCCCTGACCTACGGATGCTGCCGTCTCCCCTTAAGAACTGGATCTCTGAAGGCAGGGCGTCTCCTCCCACGCGCTCCCAGCATGCACCTGGAGCCTGACGCACCCCGGGTATGGTCCCAGGCGCCACCTGTGGCACGAACCCAGGACCTTCTGTGTGTCAAGCAGACGCGCTGACCACTACACTGTGGAGCCACCCCATACGACAGCTTCCTAAAGCAAGGAAACAAAAACGACCACTGTGGCAGAGAGAGAGGAACAGAGACAAAACTGCTCTCGCTCCTGCCGCCCGGGCACTGACCTTCCCCAGCCAGAAGGTGTGTCCATGTGCTGACCTTGCTGCACTACAAAGGTCAATGGTACGCGCAGCTCAGGTCTGGGTAACTGGCAGAACACCCGGGTTAAACGGACTCATCCCACATCTGCCAGTGGCTGTGTTAACTCTGGATGTGTCCCAAGCCAGTCTGGCCTACAGTTCTTTGCTGTGAAGAATAAGATTCAATTCAACAAATATTTTTTGAGAGCCAGGCGTACGAACTTTGGCATTAATAGCTGAGGGACTGGGGGGTACACTGTCAACCCCCGTGCGCCTCAGTTTCCTCATCTCTGGGAATCGTGGGAGCAATACCAGCATCTAACATTCAGGATGAGATAACAGGAGCTATGCCACGTCACTGCTGTGCTCAGAATCAAGCAGTAGACTTCTGCTCTGTCTATGATGAAGTACTAGGGACCAGATGTACCTTCCCACTCTAAACCACTAGAAAACTAAATAAACGGCACCACTTTTTGTGGACTTCGGATGTCTGACAGAACAGAAACAAATGATATGATCCTTAGGATGATCCCGGCA